TAGGTAGGAGAGGGGGTCTCCTTGGCGTACCCCTCTTATGACTTGGAATTTTTTGCTTGTGTGGCCATTCAGGATAACCCTTGTGTTGGCTTTGCTGTACAGCGCTTTAATGGTGTTTGTGAGGTTGTTTGGTATGTTCATGGCTCTTAGGGTTCTCCATAAGTAGTCGTGTCTGATGCGGTCATAGGCTTTTTCTTGGTCTAGTGCTATGATGGCTCCGTCTTGGCTGATGATCTCGCACAGTTCTATCATCCTATTTACCAGGTCTATCTGGTCGAAAATACTTCTATTTTTGATGAATGCCGCTTGGCATTTGTTTATGAGTTTGGGGGCTATGGGTTGTAGTTTGTTCATCAAGGCCGTTGTTATTATTTTATATTCTGCATTAAGTACTGTGACTGGTTGTCAGGGTTCAGCACCCTGCCTTAGGGTGCCCCGGACTCCCCACCTACTTTACCCCCTTTTATTCTTTGACTGTTGCCTTGTTGTTGCCTTTGTGTGTTGTGTACATGCGCACACGGGATAGCGTGGGAACTTTCTGAGCGAGCAGCTCACCCAGAATGTTCCCATGGGTCACAGCCACAGTTCTGGGCGAGCAACTCGCCCAGAACGTTCCCACGCTTACTGGGCACTGCCACCTGGATGTTCCCTCCGGGTCACACTACACAACTCTAGGAGCTGTATAGTTGTGGGCATGTGACCCATTCCTTTATATAGCAACCATGCGGGGAGATGAGACCTTTACCCTTCTTCTCATCTCATGCCCCGCATAGGCAAGTGTATATTATCTTTCCTTTTACTATACATCTCATGCCCCGCATAGTGTGAGGACAGGCCAGATGGGGGTTGAGGTCAGGGAGCCTCCAAGTCCGAGGCCGGGCCCTGACACTGGTCTGTAGTTTACTATTGATCTTCTGTCTTTTTTTTTTTTATAGATGGGGCATATCCAGCCTTCTAGGATTTCCGGTGCCTGGTGTCAGGGACTCGTCCGGGGTCGAGGGGGTCCGGGTATAACGTCCGGGACCGAGAGCCTGGCGGGGGGCGGATCGGGCGTGCGTACTGACAGGCCCGATGTGGGACAGCGGTCCCTGGCCACTTAGACTGAAGTGGAAAGTTGTTATTATTATTAAAGGAGAAATATTGTACTACTTACCTGAAGTGGAAAGTTGAGAAGAAGGCTACTTCTTCGGTTCCCACTTCAGGTTCGTTTATATACATGCGGCTTGGATCACATGACGGGTGCCACGTCACCCTCGCACACAGCCGTAACCACCCGGGTGTCTCCGTGGGAGATCCCGAGGGTATCCGGTGCAGGCGCGCATGCTGGGCACAGCGGGAAGTCGCCCGAGGTGCCCGGGCCGGGTACATGGTGGGCGCGCTGCAGATGGGTCAGTTGTACATTGATACAGAGAAAGTCGTCCGTGTAGAATAAAGAGAGAATAAAGGAGAAGTAAGATAAGGAGAAACTGAGGAAGGGAGGATGAGGGGGAAGAAGGGAAAGGGGGAGGAGGTAAGGAGGGGTGGACCGGCGGGGTACCGGGTCAGGTTGGGCCGGGTGGAGCCGGGTCAGGCGGGTGTGCCCTGACACCTGGATTCCATGCTCCTCTATATCATTTGCGGTTTTGAGGAGTAGTTTTACGATGTTGAGTCTTCCCTTATCATTGTGTTTCTTGGACCTCTGTCATATCCGTGCATACCCGACCCCGACCCGACTTCCGGACCTCCACCCTCTTCACCTCCGGAGTCATACCCTACCGCTGCCGTTCCGATACTCACCTTTGGTCCTGGCAAACACACCTCCTTCTACCCCTCACACCACCTCTACTTCTCCTCCCCTATCTCCGTCCGCTCCGATACTCACCTTTGGACCTGACAACTCTCCTTTCCGCCACTCCTTCTCCCTTACCTTTCCCCTCTCTCCTCCCTCTGGTACTCCTCCGCCACCCTCCCGCCAAGTTACGACCTTCCACCACTGTCCTGTACTTCATACTCGGACACCGCTCGTACCCTTGCTCCGAGCCTCCGTCATAGTCCCTACCTCGGACTTTGACTCCACCTCGGTCTTAGTCCATTGCATTGGTGACCTCAAACTACGTAAACACCATTGCCAATATCCCTCGGACTTTCAACCCTGCCTCCGTAACCTCTGTAAGCTCCACAACCCCCGAGCTTCGCAGATCGCCTTCGGCACTTTTGCCGCTTGTAATGTATCTCTCGCCTTTACCCCTCATCCCTATTTGGACTACTGCTTCTTCCCATTCTAGCCAGTTAGTCATCACCCCCACTTCTCCTCATCCTCCTGCCCCTCTGGGCCTCGCCCTCCCTACCTCCTTTCGGATGTATCACAGGTCTTGCCTTATGACCTTTGGTACCGCTCCGCTTCCTCTACCCTTTGTTCCCGTTCGGACGTCTTCGTTCCAATTCGGTTACCCTTTGTTTTCCTTGTACCTTGCCCCCTCCATTATATATATCGGCGCTTGTACATACTCGTTTTGGTTCAGTCCGAAATCGACCTGAAATGCCCCCTAGAGACTTCCTGCTCACCTACTGTGAAATTAAGGACCAAATGGACAAACAGCAATGGCACAGCGCTCCGCCTGAGTCGCTGAGGCCAAGGTCCCTCCATGCTAAGTCTCCGATTCCACTCCGGAGTCATCCGTTTCCGCCCAATTCTAACAACCTCCACCTATTGTCTAGTTTTTTGTATAGCTCCGTTGGTATACCGTTTAGGCTGGGGGCTTTCCCGTTCGGTGATTGTCTTAGTGCTAAGCTTATGTCGTCATGGTTTAGGGGTTTTCCTAGTTCCCTTGCCTCCTGGTTGGTGAGTTTCGTGACATTTTCTAGTGTTTTTCTGATGCAGTTTTCTCTGGTGTGTTCGGGGATGTTGAGGTCTTTTTGTTGGATTGAGTTGTAGTGGGACGCAGCTAGTTCGGTCATTTCTTTGGGGTCTGAGGTGAAGGTTTGTGGGATGGTGTCTCTTTCTAGTCCTGTTATGGTGTCTCTTGGTTTTGTTTCGTTGCCCCAGTGGCACCAGTATTTATTAATGGATTCTGCTAGGAGCCATTTGTTGGCTTTGGAGTGGGATTTTATTTTCTCGTGTCTTTGTTTTTCTGTTTCATTAATTTTTTCTGTTAGTGTTTGGATATGTTTTTGGTCTATCTGGAGTTTGGTTTGGTTTTGGGGGTTGAGGTTTGTAATGATCTTGTCTCTTCTTCTCATGAGTTTCTTGATTGTGGAGTTCATTTTTTCTGATTTTATCTTACCGAGTTTTCTTGCTAGGCTTGCAATGGTCTGGGTGAAATGTTGGAGGTGCTGTTGGGTGTTCATGGTGCTTTGGTTATCTATCTGGGTGAGGGTCTCGTTCCCGAGTTTTTCGACTTCTGTTATAAATGTTTTGTCATTTATCAGGTATTTAGGCATTGCCCATCGGCCTCGTCCGATCACTGGGGTGTAGGGGTTGTAAATGCTTGTTGTTACTAGTTGGTGGTCCGTTGTGGGGATCTCGGGGTCTGTTATTTCCCAAGTGGAGGATCTCTCTAAGATGTCGTTTGTCGTGTATATTCTATCGATTCTTGACAGGTAGTTTGCCGATGTGTGGCCAAATGTGAAGTTCTGTGTGGGTGCCGGGTTTGTTTTCCTCCATCCATCACTGAGGTTGTGGGCGCTAGTAACTTTCCTGAGGGCCTCTATTGCTTCCTCGGCATCAGAGTGTTGGGGGAGTCGGTCAATTGCGTCTTCAACCATGTTAAAGTCTCCTAGCATTAGGTTGATTTCCATGTGGGTTGTGAGGCTGTCAATTCTGTTCCAAAACTCGGTATTCTCGTGTCCGGCATATGTCATGTTTGGTGCATAGATTGCTAGAATGTTTAATTGGTTTTCCTGCGTCCATTTTAGGTTTGTCAGGAGTGCTCAGCCTGGTATCAGGTTTACCATGAGGGTAGGGTCGCTTTTAATGATGTCTTTGTTTACTATTATTGCTACACCACCAGCTCTGGGGTGTTCTGGGTTGTAGGAGTGTAGTATGTGGTGGGTTGTCTTATATCTATTATTTAGGTATTCTTCTTGGGTTTCGTCTGTATGAGTTTCAGATAGGCATAGTATTGCAATTTTATCTTTTTTCATTTTGTTCATGATTAGGTTCCATTTGTTTCTGGTGTTGCAGCTATTGGCGCCTTTGATGTTTAGGGTGCCTATTGTAATCTGCCCAATTTGTGGCGGGGGGTCCCTCCCACCTCTGAGTCTTAGAGGGCTGTTTACTGGGGTGGTTTTTACTTTGGGGTCTGGGTTGTTCATTTGGTCCGGGGAGTCATATGTTCCTGTTTGTGTTTGTGCCACAGCTCACATGGTACTCGCCCCCCTACCCACTGTGGCCAAGGCATGGGGGAGAGGCTGGATTGCCTTTGCGGCCCCTTCACCTCCAAGCTTGGATGAAGGGGGACCTTGTGGTTTGGGGCTGATATGCCGGCCAGCACTATCAGGTGGTGCCGGTTTCACCACTCTCCCCTCCGGGATTCCGTGGGGTTCCAGAGGGGCCGGTGTTGTGTTGGATTTATTGTGCTTCGTCATGTTGGGGTTTTAGTCAGTTTGAGAACCTGACTAGGTTCTTGGGTCATGAGGGTTGGGATTGGTATTTGTAGCGATTGGGTTAACTTTTTTTTTGGGGGGTTTATGGGGCGGTATTTACATAGCGTATCTACCTCTCGTTCCAGTAGGGTGTCTACCACGGTATCCCCTGTGTCTTGTGGCTCTTCCTCTGTGTGTTCCACATGCGCTACCTCTGCCCCTGTAGTATGTGTGGGTTTCCATGTTCTCCGGGTTCTGGTTACCGATTTGTTCAGCTGCCAAGGCGATGTCGGCGTTGGCCCTGACGGCGTCATTCAGTTTGTCCGGGGTGATGATCTCTTGCCAGAAAGGTAGTTCCGCTAGGGGGCATTGGAGGGTTGAGTGGTCGCGTCCTTTGCAGGACCTGCAGGGTTTGGGGGGATTTCTTTTGGCACCCTTCAAGATAGCCAGGTGGTACCACACCGTGGCTTCCGCTGCATCGATCCAGTAGCCATGTTTTATGACATCTTTGGGGTGCAGGGACTTGACTAGGAATGTCCAGTGGGTTGCTGTGGTGCTGTGGGTGGTGACGCTGAGGGGTCTTACTCGGGCCGATTCTATTATGGCTTGTCTTTCAAGTTCGTCGGGGACATTTTCAATGAGGTACCTTCCTATTTTCGAGTAGGGGTGGCTGAGGGTGGTCTTTAAGCACGTTTGGACTGCTTCTCTGTCTTTGGTTGTGGCTGCAAAAGCCCAGTTCCCCAACCAATCAGATGTGAAGTCGGAAGCGGGGTATGCAATGAAGCTAAAGGCTTTAGAGAGCCAGAATTGGTGGTGTAGGATGGTGGCGGTGTCACGGAGCGTTAGGCCATCTACCAGTATTCCCCAGGGGAGCGGGTCATCACCTTGCGTGTCAATTGCGTTGGCAGCCGGTATGGTGCTAATGGAGTTTGCTGAGTCGGGGAAGGCCCTTTTAATGAAGGTAGAGGCATGGTCTTTTGCCTCTTGCATTTTCGTGAGGGAGAATGCCATGTAGGTGGGTATGATGATTACTGCGTGATTGTTAATCTGTTTCCAGGCTTCAAGGGCCTCATCTGTGACGTTGAGGCGGAGGTGTGAGCTGTGCATTCCTAGGACTTTGTAGTCGAAGTTAACCGGGAGGGAATGGGTGTTGTATTCAACCAGGGTGTCATTTGGCATGTCAAAGGGCCCGGGTGCGGGGGTGATGTTCATGGCATGGGCTGGTTCAGGTTCAGGTGAGGTTGAGGGTATGTACATGATTCTGCGGGGTTGAGACAGCTCCATGGCTTCCGGAGAGGGGGTTCTGTTTACAGTCAGATTTGGGGTTGCTGGGGGAGTCTGTGTCGCTAGGACTCTGATTGCAGGTTTGACTGGGGGGTGGGCATGAAGGGGCCATCCCTATTGGTTTCGGGCATTTGGCTTTGGTCAGTCTGTGCCATTTTTCGCTCTTTTCTGGGGGGGACTGGTGTTTCGGAGGTGATGAAGTCCTCTCTATTGCGTTTGTGGCCTGTGCTGGTCACTGGGGTTGCGGTGTGGTTAGGTTGCTGGTGAGCAGTCGGCATAGGGGCTTACGTGGTCGGTGGTTATTGTCAGGGCACACCCGCCTGACCCGGGCCCACCCGGGCCCACCCGGCCACACCACACCCGCTCCCCGCTGTCTATCCCCCTCCCCCCTCCTTCCTCCCTCTCCTCCCCCCTCTTTTCCCTTTTCTTTCCCCTTTCTTTATTTCATTCTTCTCATCTTCCTCTTCCTGTTTATTTCTTTCTATCTACATGGACCACCTTCCCTTGTATCGATGTACTATTGACCCATCCGGCCCACACACCCCGGATGGCTTCCCGCTGTGCCCAGCACGCGCGCATGTAGTGGACGCTCTCGGGATCCCCCACGGGGACACCCGGATGCCTGCGGCTGCCTCCGAGGATGACGTGGCACCTGTCATGTGACTCAAGCCGCATGTACATAAATGTACCTGAAGTGGGAACCGAAGAAGTAACCTTCTTCTCACATTCTCCACTTCAGTCTGAGTGGCCAGGGACCACTGTCCCGGATCGGGCCCGCCAGTACGCACGCCCGCTCCACACCCCGCGACGGCCTCAGTGCCGGGCATTACCCCCGGGCCCTCTCGACCCCGGACGCGTCCCTGACAGTTATATGGTGGGGCTTTGCTTCTTAAGGGGTTTGTCGGGGCACATGTGGGTCTGGTTTGCTCCGGTTTCAGCTGTATAGTTTTGGGGGGGATTGACCAGTAGTAGCTGGGTGTGTCTAATTTTTTTAAATCTTTTTTCTTCTTTTTTTTTTTTTTTTTTTGTGGTCTTATTGGTTAGGGGGGGTCCTAAGTTTCGAGGACTGCTGGAAGGTTGTTCTAGGCTTCGACCACCCCGGCAGGTGAGTGGGGTCCTTTTGGCTCACTATGGTGTAGTGAGGGTGGTCCCGCTTTTGCAGGGCCGGTGGGTTTGTACTAGTTTGCCTGAGTTGCCTCTCTTCCTGTTACTGGCAGTCTCCCCTGTTTTCTTATTCTACTTAGGTTGCATTTGTTTCCTAGTTTAACGACTTTGCGGTCGAACGTCATCACTTATTAGTCACCTTCCATTCATAGCACAACTATCTTCTTCTTACCATTCAGTCAGCTAACCCCCTCTTACCCATTTCTTGTTCCCATTCATCTTCCGGCCTCTTACTCCACCCTCCTTGACCCAACACCTCGGTTCCCCGTTAAGGATATTGTTCAGGACCTTTTGGTACCTCTCAGTATCATTTGGCACCTTTCGGTGTTTTTCTATTATCATTCGGACTTTGACCAAAGTCCTTTCCATTCCTCCTTATAAATGCCTGTAGATTAGAACCTGTAGTTTTCTGTCAGGGGACGACTCCTGGGTCCCCATGACCCTCCCCCATGGCCCACAGCCTCAGGTCTGGCCAGCCCTATCCAGGGCACAATCTACTGTGGGTAAGGAGATGAGAAGGAAGCTAACTTCTCATCTTCCCACAGTGGCCACAATATCAGCAAAACTTCCGGGGATACCCAGAAGTCACATGAAGGGGTAGGAACCGAGCCCGGAGCATGCGGCGCGCGGAGCATGCGGGAAGCGCAGCAGGTGGAAGCGGGTCCGGGCTAGTCAGGGTGTGTGCCCTGACATTTTCCTTAGTTCTAATCTTGACTAAAATGTTCCCCCAAGTCCCTCTGAGTGAATCCTGACCCCTTTCTACAAGATACCTCAGACATAAGAAATACAAGGACTAACTGAGACGTAACGGAGGCACAGCGCTCCCTCCGAGTCACTGAGGCCATGTCCTTCTTAGAGCCTCTTGTACCATCCAGCAGAACTGGGCTTCCTGGAGAAGCTTCGGTCCACTACCGGAGCTCTCAGATCCCCTCTAGTTGAGCCCCACCTGCATTTGGACTCACACATTTTCCCCCTACGATCCAGGTTTTTGACAGTAGCTTTTCCTCTTTAATGATAACTCAACTTCCCACTTCAGACTGAGTGGTCGGGGATGCTCGCCCCGCAACAGGACTGCCACTATGCATAGCTGACACCTGTCCCCTCGAGTCCCTCGCACTGGGACCTTGCCGCTTTCGGAGCTGTCCCTGACAGATGAGCCTGAAGAAGGTGGGAGGCAGGCTATGGTGCCTGAGGAGATTGGGGATGAGGAGGAGCCAGAGGACGAGGTGGACTGTACTTCCTGTGAGCATTTCGGTACAGCCAATGGTTCACCCAGTACTGCTGACACTTTGTCCATAAAATCTTAACTACTCCGTTGTACATTGTTCATCCCTCTCTTTCTTTTTTTTTGATTTAATGAATGACATCCCCCCCTTTTGTACCATGCAACCTGAGTGTGACCTATGAATCGGGTACTAAGGTGGGAGGTGTCCCTAACTGGTTCTGAGCAGTAAAAATTAGAGAGGATGGGGACTGTAATCAATGGAACCTCTAGCATATGACCTTGGAAGTGATCATGAATGCCGATATGAACAACCGGTGTCTAGAATATCCTTAAGAGGCTGGGAAATGAGCCTTGAGGGTTGTAGTAGGGAAAGTGGGAAACATGGAGGATTCGGGGATACCGAGTGGGGTTGGTGTGTAACCAGTGGTTCCAGGGATTCCGGGGTGATGATACTAGGAAGGGTCCGGAAGACCTCTCAAAGTATCCGAGGGAACATTAGTGAGGAGTTCCTCTATAACCTAGCAATCTCCGAAATGAAGAAGCCTAAGTTCGGAGGGTCCTTTACTAGGAGTGGTGTGATGGTTGTGCAGGTCTGAAGTCTATCCCGGAGTCCTTGGAAAAGAGTGGAACTCCTATGGGACGACGAGAGCGGAGTGAGTCTTGGTGGAACTGGTATGGGAAATCCTTAATGAGTGAATGGCAGGCGTATCCCCTTCTTAGGGTTGACATCCCAGCGTTCATCCTTCATGTGGGATTGGTACTTGATTCCTAAGACTAGGAGGATCTTGGAAGGAAGGATCACAACTCTGATCAACGGGTATCCGAATAACCAGGGTTGTGTCAGGGATTGGCCCCTGACCCCACTGTCAGGGCACCCAACCACACCCCAGAACCACCCTCTCAGACTTCCCCCACTTCCCAGACCTCCCCATCCCTACATATCTCTCACAACTTCAGCCCGCATGTGAGCCCGCAGGAAGAATCACGTGGGTCAAGGCGAGCAACTCGCCTTAACCCATGTGACACCTTTTCCGAGTCACGGGAACATGCTCGGCTTCTACCCAGAGTCACGTTACGAACTGTACAGTACACTTCCCTTTATAGTAGCCAAGTGGGGAATAGGGAAACTTACCCTTCTTCTCAACTCAGTCCCTGCTTAGGCAAGTTGTAGTTACCCTCTGTAATACATGACAACTCAGTCCCCGCTTAGTCCCTTCAGTGAGTTTGAGGAGCTGAGGACAGGGTCTAGTGCCCAGCCACCCGGAACACCGCACACACCTAGGGCCGAGGTCAGGCTGTCCCCAATCAAGGACTGAGCCCTGACAGCAGAAGAAGGGTTCAACCTACTTCTATTTCCCCTAATGTCGCTGGAAGATCAGATAGTGGAGCTGACCCGCCAGCTCCAAGATCTCCAGGCCCGACTGGCCACCCAGACCAGACCCACGGCCCCAGCCCCAGTCCCTACACCCACTCCGGCTTGTAGGCCACCCAAAGTAGCCACCCCTACCCCCTTCTCTGGGTCACAAGATGACCTAGACCGCTTCAAAGCAGAGTGCAGACTCTACATGAGCATGCACCATGCCAAGTTTCCAGACGAACACAGCCAAGTCCTGTGTGTCCTGTCATACATGAAAGGAGGGACTGCTGGACCATGGGCCACCCAATGCATCAACACCCTCCTTGCCCCAGGAGCCCCAGCCATTTCCTTTGATGACTTTGCAGAGGAACTCGACTCTATGTTTGCAGACCCAAACCGACAAGCCACAGCCTGTTGAAGGAGAGAACGAAGGAAGGTCAGTTGGGAGGTTCAAACGAGACCACCACCAAGCTGTTCCCTGGTTCTTTAGTTAGGATGGGGAAGTGTACTAGTGTTATTTATTGTAAATATAGTACCAATCTGAGTGTTTTGGCTAATTCTATTTTTATGGGTTAGTTTTAAAGTTCCTGGGAATTGACTTACAGATAAACCGAGCCCTGCAGAGCTGTTTCTTTATTGAAATTTCTTAATTTGTCTAAGTGTAATTCTGTGTAGCGTTGTTTAATTTGGATTTAAACTTGAATTTAATCTTCTACTTGGTGAAGTTTCAATGATTCTATTCAGTTAATGGATTTGGATTGTGTCTGGAGTGTCCCTTGAGTTTGTTTTATTTTTGTCTTATTTTATTGCTTGTTTTAACAGTAGCAAGATAACTGTTTTGTGTTTACACTTTGAAATCTGGAGTGTTAACCAGCTCTCCTGTTGAAATATCTACTTAATATTTCTCTCCTTAATTGCTGCCTTTTACTACAGTGGCAATCTCAACTGTATATCACTTTTTCGCACTGGAGTGAAAACCAGAAATGCTTGAGAAAAATAATACTCTATTTTCTTACTTCTCTTACTGTTGCTGCCTTTTACTACAGAGGCAATCTTAACTGTTTCTATCACTTTTTCGCACTGGAGTGAGAACCAGAAGTGCTTGAGAGAAATATTACTCTATTTTCTTACTTCTCTAAGGGGGGCGAAAAGTCGCAGAAAGGGTCTCCCTTTTATACTCCTTGGGTAGCCTTCCTTTTTCACGCTCTACCTTCTATTTACAGGATT